ACGATGATACGACGCTTTGTTTACCATGAAAATAAAAGCCTACCAATGACCTTCGATTTCGTAAACAAAGTTCCGTCGTATATTTACCAGACAAGGAATTCTAAATCAAAGAAAGAGTCCTATTTCGAAACTATTCATTCCTAAAAGTTCATAACTTCAGAAGTCAATATCTCTTGAACGGAACGTTTACGAGCATATTTCCAGAGGAAAATTTTTCTTGCTTTGAGGTCCTAAATATATCTTTCAAGTTTGGCCGTTTAACCCGGGAACACCCTGTATATTTCTCCGTAAGAAACGGTTGTAAATACAAGCAGATTTTCACACGCGCGATTAAGACGAAGCCCGACATCGGGAGTGGTAAATTATTTTTATATCTTTCCCATGTACCCTACTCTTTCTCCCCCCTTTTTTATTATCGAGTATCGGGATATTGAGAATCCCGCGAATTTAAAAATATCTCTTGCGAGTGCTGGACAGAGAGATTACTCTTCGAATGAGAAAATTCCTATAAATAAGGTAATCCCAATGTTGTGCATAATAGACGTATTAATTATTGCTCGTAATTTATACAAATAAACATATAAGAAAATTAAATAAATGACGAAATTAACATCTCAGGTTATATCAGTGTTACACCCTGGTTGTTCCCCTCCCAAAAAACTTATAAAGATCCTGCTATTAATTTTAAGTAATTGTATCGATTTATCGTGCGGCACAGTCAATAATTAAATCATAATTTGCAGAATAGCAAGTTCATCGAAACATGGAAATCATAATACAAGTAAGTAACATTTTACTATTCGTCTGTTAAAAATAAGTTGAGTACAACAAGTTAACTTCCTGTCGCAATCCGAGAGAGTGATAGGTATATCAGTGTTTTCTTGGCCATATATCTGGTATTTTTAATAATACAGAAAATTTGTTGCGAAAAATATTACCTCAGCCAGGCTTTGAACCTGGACTTCCCTACACTCTAGACGCCCGCCTAGCTGAGGTGACATTTAAAAATGCCAGATATGGTGAAGAAAACATTGACGTTGTTAATTACTACTGGCGACATTGAAGAATATTCTTATTAGTTGACAGGTATGCATATGTGATCTGATTTTATACAGGCTAAAGTCCTCACAAGAGATCTCCGTTCGAGCGCTAGAACCTCGATAGCGGATGTCCGCGGACGAGATGTACGAGCAATCCCTCGAACTACGGCCTCACGGTCGACGCGCCGCGCCGTGTCGCAGGATATTCAATATTTTCCCATTACACGATGCGCGCCGCCGTCGACGTACTCCCGCGAAATATAGTCAACTAGTTCCCCAACTGGACGACTTCATAATTCCTGCGCCCCGAGTGAATGTCGTGGGAGGCTCATGCCCCGAGGAGGACTGGTTCGGACTCTCCTCATCCTCCTCTTTTCTCCTTCCTTCCCCCCTCGCCCTCGCCCCACCCCGTCCACCTTCTCGCCCTTCCCTCTTTTTTTCTCATCGCGTTCTTTCTTCCTGCATCTCTGCCTTCCACCGTTGCGCGGCGTTCAGCGAATGCTGCACGCGATGATAACGAACGCAGGAATCCCGCAGGAATCTCCGCGCGGGATAAAAGGACCCTGACCGCATACGAACAGGCATCCGCGCTAATGGTACCAACACTCCACCGCCGACCTACCGGCTTTCTCTCCCTCTCGCCCGCCCCTTTTCACCTTTTTTCCACATGCTCCTTCCCCCGATCTGCCTTCTGCTGCCGCTTCCTCCTTCTGTCGCGTATCTCTTTCTCTACCGTCGGATCACCAGTTCTTTCATCCGCCGTTCATGCCCACAAGTAATAAGTACATATTTCTTTGTAAATTTGTGCGTGTGTGTGTGTGATCTAAGTATGGCTAAGAGAGCTTAAATCAATTAAAATTCATAATAATACATTTTTATTCTGTTTCCGTTAGATTAATTACCGAGAAATTTTAACGATTACGGTCAACTAATATAGAGAATTGTTAACCGCGTAAAGTGAAGAAGTAAAATGATTTATATAATAATGATTTACTTAGTAGGATACGTGTCTGTCAGTTCATGACAGGCAAATTTATGATTTTACATTAAGATCAAGTACTCCAATAAATCAACGTCTATCCAGCGGGAAACGAATAATTATCATTCTAACATCGATTCGCTACACAATCCTTAATATATCGATGTCTCTGGACAATTCTGAAAGAATTATTTTTTGCACAATATAAAATTTCATCTGTAGCACACGTAATCCATGTGATCCAAAGTTCTCGATAAGTTAAAAATACATCGAACTAACAAATTCGAATTATGCAACGCGGACCCAGCATTCACTTACATCATTGCATAATGGCCAATCAACTTCCGCCATCGAATTCTTGGATCGTCAATCACATTGAGATCCACACTCGGCGATGCACCCAGGGGGATAGTATTACACACGATAGTAAAACAAATTCTTGCCACAAGAGAGAGAGAGAGAGAGAGAGAGAGAGAGAGAGAGGAGGGGGGGGGGGAAGAAGAAAGAGAAAGAGAGACTACCAGAGCCCCGGCAGACAAGAATCTCGGGCAGCCGGACCACTTCTCACG